TCATAAATTTTGATATTCAATTAGAGACAATTTAAACCTATAGAGTTCATATTTTTATCTAATTATTATTGTAGAGACAATTTAGAAGCCAAAATCAAATGTGTACTTTTATTATTATCTCACAAACTTGTAACGATAAGCCACAAAAAGTTACACATTGGTTTGGATCGATACAATAAAACTATATTAATGATATTAATACTTCAGAAAAAGCTCTAAGCCGGAGAAGGAGCACCCGGAGTAGAACCACCTTGGCAATGTTCCTTCACATAATTGCTAACGAAAGGATTACGGAATGATGCAAAAACCGTATTTTCACAATTTTTATTCAACTTCTTGATCGCCAAGCAACATTCAGAATCAATGGTTGGTTTTCGCGTAAATGCCTTAATGAAACATCTTGTTACCTTCTTGTAATTAGAAAAGCATTTGTTCAATTGCCGATTTGGGCTGTGTTTGAGGATAGCCCAGAACGGATCCGACCATTGGAGCTCTTCATCATCGGTTGAGTCAAGCATTTGGGATATGACACAGCTTGATAAGAGAATCATAGCAACAACAAATGTGAGATTCTTCATTTTCTTTGGATTATTTTGTGGATATTGAATATGTGAAAATGAGAAGAAATAATGGATATGCTTTTAATTTTGGATGGTGTTAAGGTGAAACTATGTTAGGTAGAGTTTATATAGAGGGGGTTCACAATGAATAGTTTATGTTTGCTGTTGGTTATTTCTTCGTTGTCAAAATGATACTATTGCTTAGTATTTAATTTCTGCCGTATATATATATCCAACCAATATCCTGTAGTTAATATTTTTCATTTTAATGTTTTGGTACGTACATGATATTGTATGAAAATTAAAAGAAAGAGTCAATGTAAAACGTTCGTAAGCAATATTCAATATTTAAGAAAGAGTCAAGGTAGAATCAGTTAATGATTGTTGACCAGAAAATATTTGATTAACTGATTCTACCTCAGATTAATTACGTCAAGTAGTCCTATTTGGTTTGTTTAGCTCAACCAGCAATAGCATGGCAGCATCTATTTTTTGGTTCATTTTTTAAAAAACGAAAACAATAAACTAAGGCTAATTAAGTTTACCATTGATTGTTCATAGAAAGTTATATCTTTGAATCTTTGACCTTCCATTTCCATTTCAGACTGCTAACTAAAGAAAGAAAAACAAACATTGACTTATTTTTGTAGTATTATTTTGGATCCATGCACTCATAAGAAAATTCAAGATATAATTAACCTAAAATAAAGCAAAGCAATTTCAACACTGACTGTTACGAGATAAATAATATTTTAATTTAATTTAGTCATATGAGAAATACTTATGTTACTTTTTATCAATATCATGTTACTCAGACTCGACTTATTTAAATATGAGTAGTTTAACACCATATTTAATAACATCTAAATGTAAAATACTAAAATAGATATTATATATAATTTTAGAATATAAAAAACCACATTATTTATGTTATTTGCTAAATTATATATATATATATATTAATAATTAATAAAGCATATTCGTTTAAAATATATATCTTCTTTTAGAAAATGTTTAGTACGAACGTATTTGATCATTTTATTATACCAATCAATAATATTATTATTATTGGTTTTTTTTACAACCAATAATATTATTCTTACATAAATTTTGATTTAGTAGTATAATTAAATTAGTAGAAATGCAACCAGTGGAAGAGGCAAAGGGAGACTAGGAGGTCATGTGACCCCTATAAAATACTAGTCCTATGATTTTTAGTGTAAATTTTATTATATTTTGTTAAAATTAGTGTTCGACCCCATTAAATTTGTGTTCAAGATTCAAAATGCCCTCACTAGTTCATATATA